CCATTTGAGTGGTCTTTTATCCAATTTATTAAGGATATAACTTTCACACTTATAAACAAGTTTTTCTTTCTATTCCTATCCTATGTGGGACAAACAACAACAACCAAAACCCCTATTTCTATACAAACTCTCCAACAATTATAACATCTACTTTGTGAGAACCTATATCACGTCGTGCCGTTATGTAAAGTGAACCAAATCATGTTAGACTATGTTAACTAACTTCATACCAATGCTCGTGAAGAGGAACAATAAATTATTAATAAAAAATGAAACTTTAATAGACTTTGCTAGAATAATTTATAACCCGTGTGTCACAACGCAAAAATATTAATCAAAGCGAACAAAATTGAGTTTATACATGGAAATATATTTGGAACTCTCTACTATTTTAAGTGAAATTGTTAACTTGACTATTTCATAAATGCTTTCGAATCACAATATTATTTTTTTTCCATTTAAACTAATGGTTAAGATTAAATCAAAATACTTTATAAGAATTGTAGTATCAACATTCTTCAATTTATTCACTACTCAATATTAAAGAGTTCCACAATGTTGAAGGACATCAAATAAGCTCAAACCTTTCAAACCAACAATGCAAGTTTAATTCTCGCTATTCGCTTATATCGATTTTCGGTAAGATGCATGATACAATGCTAAATAAAGTTAAGAATGTAAAATAATTCAAATTTATTTATTATAACGTCGAATGATCGTGGTTTGGAAAAATCAAACATGGCCGTGTATTTTTTCCATACGTTTGCTTTTCAAATGGTTAGTTAAAGTAGGTTATGACAAGATGGCATGCAATCAAGTTAGCTATGATTGAAATAAGAAGTCCAAAATTGCCTAAAAATCAGTGGTATTTCCAATAGGATTTTACCATTTGTACAAGATAATCGTACAAGAGAATTTACAAGTTCTCAGATGGCAACACATATACGACTCTTTTTTTGGCCCAACTCCCGATGAAATTTGTCAAGTAGAATTCTGTACATTATTTTTTGTAAAACTTCCCCGTGCGCATAGCATTGTGAAAATCAACGTTATGTGCAAACTCATATCTCCACTTTGAGTCGAGGATATTTTTTTATTTTATTGTTTTCTATCCAATAAAGGACCCAATTTTCTTTATTATGTCAGGTGGGACTGTCTCCTTAGAAAGTGCTTAGTCTAATCAAATGCACCAAAATATCACCCAAACATTATCAATTTGAACCCTATTGATATGTACAATACTTAGTAGGACATTGTACCATATGCTTCAGACTTAATAGTTTGTCCTTTTTGAGCTTGGAAATGAGCCCTGCTTGAACTAAGACTATATATATCACACGTTGCTACCTAATTCTTATGGTATCCCACCACATAAGTGTAATTTTAGATTGACCATACGAATTTCGACCACTAAAATGCGCATGGACAAATGATCTCACTTGTCATGTGATTTTAGATAATAATTGATGCATTATTTTCAACGTCATATCAAAAGTGAAAGATTTTTTGTTTGGCAACACGGTTTAGTGGTCTCCACATTTGATATTTCTCTCTTTTTATTTAATTCGTGAAGTAATTAGTTTTTTAATTTTTTAATTTTTTTGTTTACAAGAGAGAAATATACATATATGATATTACTTCGTTAAATCCTACTTAAATTTTTCAACAAAAGTTGTTATCGATTGTTGCAATTAAGCAATCGATATTATTAAGGACCGTATATAATTTATTTTGTATAGCGCAAAACGCAACTTGGGATTTCCTCCACCACAACACGATACAGAAACACTTAATTAATGAATTAGAGTTTATCCTTAAATGTTCTTTATCTTGAACTTGATTTCGAGAATAATTTTAACAGTGTAGATGCAGATATTTGATGTAACACTCTCAGTATATCAATCAAGAGAATTATCCACCGATTGTCATATGTTAAATATTTTTTGTCAAATTATTTTTTATTTACATATTTTATGAGACTCGTAAATACTATCCACACATCCATTCTTCGATAAGCATCCAGTTGCCAAATCTTTAAACAAATTATATTTGTTTATAATTCAACCCCAATTAAAAACAATTCCCAAACATGCCATAGGCAATCATTGAAAACAACAAATAAGATTAATGAGAACATTCACGTCCTCATTGTGCTCAAATGGACATTTGGATTCTAAGATTGGTATCGTGTTCACACGAACCAAAACATGTGAAGTGCTATTATCCTACATCGACTAAAACTAAAACTCATAAATAAAATATAAGGGATTGGACTGCTCCCTTTAACGTGGTACCTCATTTGAACTTTAGATGGATTGAAATGTTCGATTTAGCTTAATGAACTCTAATACAACATTAAAATTTAGAGTTATCAGTTACGTTTTAAAAGAAATTGAACCTTATTTATAATGTGTAACCTAAATGTAATGCTAGTTGTCCATAAACTAGATATAAACATGCTATGATGAGAATACGATTTTAACCACACATTTTTATTTTTTTTGTAATTTTCATCAACTCTACGACGAGGATACTTTTCTAACCATATTTTTTTGTCATTAGCGTTTTCCTTCAACTTGATTATAAGATTTTAAAACATTAATAAACTCTCACCCACTACCGTATTTAACTCTCATTTGGTAGGGGTTAAAATTAGATTTTTAGTATGATAGAAGTTGACGAAATATGTGGTTTAAAATTGTGGGTTCTACGAAATATGTGATTAAAATTAATTATTGACTTTGACTTAAATTAAAACATAAATTTTAATCCCTACCAAACAAGGTCATGAGAAATAATTTTTTTTTGACATGAAAGGTTGTTAAACATCGTTTTCTTTGTCCTTTCTTAAAAAAAAAATCAACTATTTTGAGCTCGTGAAGTCTTGAAAACCCTAATTGAATACAATCATCCTATTTTGTCAGAAAAATGTCATCTTCTTGACAGAATACCATATGACATTATGTCATTGAACTATTTAAAAAAAATTTAACTTTTACGTCCAATCTTTTGCTGCCACCATTGCATTTGTCAAATAGGTGGGCAATAATTTTTGACAAAGTGGCTTATCTACACTGAATAATACTTGCCAACTTAATTAAACTGTGAATGTGTCCTTAATTGTCTAACTAAGTAATAATTGTATGTAAAAATGTTTAATAAAGACCTTAACAATTGTCAGAGAATGGTACGACGTAACTCATTTCCAAGGATTCTTGTTGTCGACTCATGCATTTATCTTATTATTTTATCATTAAATCGTGTATAATATTATATATATTTAATCCTGTTTTTCACCCTCTCCTTGCAATTTCAGTAAGAAGTATCCAATGTTCTCACATTTCATAAGAGAAATACTTTAAACATATGTTTAATTAGCACTTCGAAATCAACCATGCTACAAGTACAATTTTTTTGACATCAAATTTAACAATGTGCCACACGTTGAAGGTTGAGTGTCCAGTTTTTAAACACCACACACTTTCCCGCCTATTCGAATTTGAATTAACATGGATTGTCAAATTTCTTGTCAACCATAGATTGTACACAAAGCATTATTCCTTCGAAATATATATGCAAACATATGAACATCTAGGTGCATCTCTTAGGTGAATATATATACGTTTAATTGGACAGCTCTTCACAAAATTAAGCAATAGAAAAGAAACGTCGTATATTGCATACAGAAAAAATTCAAGCGGTCTTCAACTTACTTCTTAAAAAGTAAATGAAAAAAAAAGGCAAATTGATCGTGTTACCTTAGATTGACTTGATAAAAGATTACGTGCCAACAAAAAGATACATAAAATTCGAGTCATCTAAATAATTTTTCTATCTAGTAGATTGATTGCTAAATATACAAGAATATAATTCTAAACAAACCCTCAAATCACAGTATTTGTGAGCTTGTAGGTATATCAACTTGTTTTACATTAAAATTATAAAAATTTCAAGGGCTCAATCTAACTGGTGTATGAGTGTGTGTTTTTGGATTTTCAAGAATCCTCGTAATCTTGCCAACAAATTAATGTGATAATACACCGCCGGAAAATGTAAAATCTTGCTCTTTTCTCCTTCACTAGCCGACTGCATCTGCTGCCAAATGCTCCCAACTGGTGCCTTACACAGAAGCTGCTGCTTTCTTCTTCTTTCATGGAGCATACGCAAGAGGAAGAGGAAGAAAAGGGTTGGTTGGGGTGGTTAATTAATGTTAGACATGGAGTTATGGGTTATATTTATACAAGTCATATACTCATTTTTGGCACCTATTTCTTAGAATTTATTTTCAATCATGTAAATCCTGTTTGAGCTTCATTAAAAATAAATTTTGAAATTATATATATTAGAACGTGAGATTAAAAAATAATAACAATTTTAAGTTTATTTGTAATATTATTTTATTGAAAAATGTGATTGAAAATAAAAGAGAAAAAAAATGCATTTTTGAAATAAAGAACCCAAACTTATCAACTTTTCGAATATACTAGTTAGAGTGAACGTGCGTTACATATTATTCTAAAATATTTTATAAGTGTCGTAAAGGTAATATTTGATCATTTATTACCCTTTTAATCTAAATATAAGAGAAATGCAAGTTCTTGAAAATAATGTTAATTATTGCACCCGTAAATAGTGAAATACATACTTCAACGTGAGTATTAGAATTATAACTAACTGCATAAATGAAGATGAATGACAAATGAGATACATGAATTAACTTGAATGCTAATTAATTTAGAATTAATACCAAAAAATATATACCTCACAGTGAATGTTAAATCATTTATATTAAATGAATATAATTTAATTTTCAATTAAATGAAACAGATATTAGTTAGCATATATGGACGTGAATAATAAACTGCATCATTGAATTTAAAATTTTAATTAATATTAATATTAAATTAATTGATAATTAATAATTGGGGAATGGACGTGGAACGTGAATGTGAATGTAAAATTCTAATTAATATTAATTATGAATGTGAATATTAATTATTTGAGAATTTTATTACAGTTTATAAATTAAATACATATTAAAAATGAAAAATACTATATTGTTGAAATAATTGAATTGTAATTTAAAATATTATTGAAATAATTGAATTAAATTAAAGTTATAATAACATAAAAAAGAATTATTCTCGTTGTGCATAATTTATGCACATAACTATCTGGAACCATTATTTACATAAATTATGTACTAAAAAAAAAAAGAAAATGATTCTCCCATATTTTTAATATATTATACATATATCATCTATTTTTATCAAAATTTACTTAAAAATGGAAACCAACTGGGGGCAAAGAATGTTGTTTTAGTAGGGATCTTCTTGATTTGGGAAAACCACTCGATTATAATTCTCGAAGAAGATCAAATCTCAGATCAAGATTCCAAGAAAAATGTGAGTATTTTCTTAACTCGGGTGAAGAAGTTTACATTGGTGAAAATTATATTATAAAGTCTGCGCGTGATTTTTTATTTTATTTCTGGTTATGGTTTTTGGGTGTGAATTTGGAATTAATTTCACGTTTTTTGTGGGTGATTCTGGAAAATTATGATCTTAATGTGTAGGTGATTCTATTATTCGGCAGTTTGAAGAAAGCTTGGACATTTTTATTGCAAATTGTGTATGATATTAGTCTTTTAAATAATCTTGGTTTATCTGCACTATGCACAAGAGGGATTGGCTAATAGATTTTTCTATGAAAGTAAAACTTCAGAGGATTTATGAAAGAGAGAGTCAGTAAGAAACTTGCAAACAACCACTATGCCTTGTTGTGATTGTCCTGAGAATCCTCAAGATCCAGGGGTGTGTTACCATATTTGCTATAAACCGTCCGTCTCCGAAACTTCTAGACCTCTATTCCTTTGGCATTTTGAACCAATCTGGATATCCTATCAACTTAAAACATCCATCTCTTGTTTGGCCTTTCATATTACAATGATCACAGTGATATAGTTCATTTTCATTACCAAATCTCCTATTGTTTCCTCTGCCAGTACCAAATCTCCCTGCATTTCTATTAAAACCACCTCTATTTCCATTGTCTCTCCTATAATCCATGTACTTAGTTAACATTGTTGTATTATCATTTAAATCAGGGAAAATGCTGTGTACTTCTCTCTATTTTTCAACTCTTAGCAGCATGGAATATGCTTTATTGACAGAGGGAAGCGGATCCATGACCAACACTTGATTCCTAATGTTATCAAAAGTATCATTCAATCCCATTAGAAGAAATTGCATCAGCTGATTGGAAGCAGTCAGATCTGAAACCTCCTTAGATGCTATACAAGTGCAGGTAGGTATTGGCATCAAACATTTTAACTCGTCCCAAAGTTTTTTAAGTTTGGTATAATATTTCTCAACTGTCAAAACTCCTTGTGAAACACTATTGATTTCTCTTTGTATCTGATATAACATAGGGCCATTGCATTCACCATACCTCTCTTTCAATTCTAACCAAAGGTCCTTTGCTGATTTAGTATAGATGAATGCTTCCACGATATCTTTGGCAATAGAATTCAATAACCATGACCTAACCATACAATCTACCCGGATCCATTGTTCGATTTTGGACGCATTCTCTGTAGGTTTATCACACCTTCCATCAATGAAACCCAATTTCACATTAGCTCCTAATGCTATGATGATAGATCTACTCCAACTAAGGTAATTTCTACCGGTCAGTACTGAAGTAACTAAAATCATAGCAGGATGATCTGAATTTTGAAGAACTAATGGATCTCTATTTGAATACTCATTTTCTGCTGCTCCATTCTCAGTTTCTGATCCGGATGTATTTTGTGTCATTTCTTCTTCAGCTGATCAATTAGTTTTCAATTAGACATTTCTGAATTTTGCCCGCTCTGATACCATGAACAAAAGCTAGCTGAAGGAAAATATAGAGAAGACGATTTTATTTAATCGAATGATCTTGAAAGGAATGAGAGCAATTGCTGAATATATAGACACAAAGGAAAAACCATTGTCCAATAGCCAGCAGACACCTCATCAAAGTAAAACGGCACTTAATAGAAAATGGAAAGAAGAAAACGTAAAATGAAAAACATACCTAATGATTAACGGCTACTGCTGTATGTATTTCTTGCAACCAACAGAAATTGAAGCTGATTAGCTGATTCTTCCATTATTCTTTCAAAATTTTCAGCTGGAGGAGTTATTGCGTCCATTTTTTCTGGATTGGCTTAGTTGATCAAGTTGGCCTCCATACAAAAGGGACGACGTTGAACCTCTCTGCTCTTCCGGTTGCTATTGGTCTGTATGGTTTTTGCTACTCGGGACATGCTGTCTTTCCCAATATCTATACATCAATGGAAAAACGGAGCTTGTTCCCTGCAGTCCTTCTAGCAAGGTATAGCAATTATTCTAAGCATCTTCTCATACCATCATATTGAGAACTCCTTTACTATAATATTGTTCTCCAACTTAATCAACAAATGTGGGAAAATTGTAAGGAGGGTTTATTTATTTTCCTGTTATTACCTCTAAACTTGTTACTCAATAATGAATGCAGTTTTGGGATTTGCACTCTGATGTACGCTGGAGTTGCTGGTATGGGATATACAATGTTCGGAGAAACAACACAATCACAGTTCACTCACAACATGCCTAAAGATTTGGTTGCGTCTAAAATTGTTGTTTGGACAACGGTATGTAAAAAGAAAATATTCATGCTGTAGTTTTGTCCTAATTGTTATCATAACATCGTCGTATTTGCTTAATAAGTTGTACTGTTCATACCATATTTCTGATAATTCTCTCTGTTCTTTGACATTTTAGTCTTCCTTTTCGAATAAGAAATGTGAATTTATTAATTATGAAGACACAAGATAAATACTTATAGGCAGGAATAATTAAAGAAAAAGGATTGCCTCGAACTCATTATACGTAGAAATCCTAATGACACATAAACAAAATCTTGTGAAAAATGTTAATTATCTATATGGCTGATTCCCTTACACTTCTTTTGAGCTCCCAATTGGTGTTTTATGATTGTTGCACTCTTTTTTTTTTTTTTGATAACCGTGGATGTCCGGGCTAGCTTGCGCGCACCTCGGCTAATTCCACGGGACCCTGAAACTTACGGTCAGGTACTCACCTCAGTGGCCCTGCGGGAACTCGAACTGATGACCATTGGGGAGCAAATCCAAGGCCTGACCAATTGAGCCACCCCTCAAGATTGATTGTTGCACTCTAAATTAAAAGTAAAACTAAATTTCTGTTTGAGATTTTCATTGACGTTGAGTTAATATTTAATCTGGGGTCGTTGCACGAATGGAGCTTTGATTGTGCATCTCCAAGTCCAATTTTAGTACATGGTTATAACTTGTTTTTCTACCTTCTCTTTTCCAGGTGGTGAATCCATTTACCAAATATCCTTTCTCTGTTTCAACGGCAATAATTTGCCTTCTCGTGGCACTTTCTTAACGAAAAACAAATAACAGGACAGCAGCCTCAGATTCGAAGACTCGGGGCTCTGAGAAACTTAGAATAATTGAACTATATTTCTTTTCGTTTCAAGTATCCAGCAATACAAGGTAGTTAAAATTCAACATGGTAGATCATATCAGGTGAAAAAAGTAGACTCCATTATAGTAATTTATTTTCTTAATGGCATTGAACGAAAATATATATATCTTTCTTAACTAGAAATACATATGCATTAACCATATCCCCAGTGGCATTGAGTTTGGAGGAATTGATACCGGCAAATCACGCGAAATCCCATTTGTATGCAATCCTCATCAGAACAGCGTTGGTGATATCTACGTTGATTGTGGGTCTTATCATCCCCTTCTTTGGTAAATTCTCGTGCTTGACTCTGTTTTTTCTTAGAGAACGTGCCTACTTAAAGATAAAAGAAAAAAAAATTATCGTTCCTTTCTATTTGCTAATTTGTTTTCCTTCATATGATGGGAATTTCTCTAGGTTATCTTATATCTGTTCTATTATACAGGTCTGCTGATGGCTTTAATCGGATCCCTACTAACAATGCTAGTTGTAAGTACTCTAATGTTGTTTTTACTTGCATTTTATCTTACTTTCATTCTCTTCTTCAGCTTCAGTGCCGGTGCACTTGCTTTGTGTTAACTGAACTTTCATTTTCAGACGTTAATTCTTCCATGCGTTTGTTACCTCAGCATCTTAAGAGGGAAAGTAAGCGTCTTCCAGGTAAAGCAAAGGGTTTTCCATCATATTTATGGCGTACCGTGTTACTAATGATACCTTAATGCTTAATCTCTACTGAGCAATAATAATCTGAAAATTAACTAGAAACGAACAAAGAATATATAGATTTATAGTGATTCACCTTCACCTTCACCTTCACCTTCAACGTGAAAACTGTGTTCACATGTTGTAAGAAGATGAAGAATACAAGTTTTTCTCATGCCTCTCTTGCACGTAAAAAACGGCCCCCTATTCATATTGTCCAGCATACCGATTATCCACGTAAAACTAAATTTATGAAGGCCTAATAATCATTAATTCAGAGCTATTGCATTATGAAAACACTCAACAGATATCATTTTCATTCTCATGTGAATTTGGAGCATGACTGCTTTTTACTAAATCAAAATTCTTGCTATATATTGATTTTCTTATCTATTTATTTTATGATACCGTTCTTGCAGAGATTGATGTGTACATTAGTCATTGTAGTAGGTGTCATATCGTCGGCGTTTGGAACTTATTCAGCCATGTCGAAAATTATCCAAAATTTAAGCTGATGCTTTATGTAATATGTTCTATAGTATTAGAAGCACCTTATGTCTTCAATCTGCATAATCTTCATTGTTTGTTCTATTCTTCAAAGTGATTTTGTTTTTTTCCCTTGCGAGTGTTTTAAAGAGAGTTTATTTAGGGCACAGGCTAATCTGGAGACTTTTTTTGACATCTTCAATATCAAGTCATTTCATCAAGATCCTGGTTGCGATATATTCTTTCATCATAGCAATATTCATTTGAAAAGCAATCAAAAACAACCAAAACAATCATATTTATAGTTGTTCACTTTGAACGTAGAACGTGTGCATTTTTCGATTTTTAAGAATAATGAAAGAGAAACGAGTCTCTCGTAGTTGGCACATCAGGTCACCAACATTTTGGGTAGACATTAGCCTCATACACAATCTTATGATTTTGTGAAGACTGACAATTTTGTGAAAGGTTGCTCAATCTTAATCACTGAAAAATGTTGGGGGCGATTCTCTTTGTACTTCAATTTTGTGTTTTGAGTTTTGAATTCATTTTAAATTTTGTGTTTTGAGTGTTCATTTTGAGATTGTTGAAAATGCGTTTTTTTTATTATAACTGAAAACACTCAAAACGGGTTTTCTTTGTAAATTTTTAACTTGTTTTCAAAAACGCGTTTTCGAAAATAGAAGAGAAAACAGCCCTTAGTTATTTGCATATCTAAGGGTGTGTTTGTCACCTATTATTGAGAGAAAAATAGAGTAATGAATAATATTTTTTGGAGAATGTGTGATTGAAATTTAAAGTAATTTTATTGGTTTGTTTGTAGAATATTTTATTGGATGAATGTGTAGTGAAAAATCTTACTGTAGCAAATAATTTTTTGAAATAATGGTAGACAAATAAATGGGGGCTAAATGTTCTCTATCTAACCCACCGCTTCACAGGATAAAATCATTTCTTCTGACAGAAATTGCATTATGACCAAAAAAATTCTTCTTTTTGTCATTTACGCGTAAGAAAAAAGGAAAAAATCCCAGTGGGTCAAATCGAAACACAGAAAGAGAAGTAACAAACATGAAAAGAACAAAAAGTTGAAATAAACTCCGTATCTTCCTCAATCTCTCCGACCTGACTTTTAATTCTTTTTTTTTTTTTTTGGGTCAATTCTGCGGAATAAATATTCCAGGGCGGGCAATATCTATACAAGAAAAAGCATTACCAAGAAAAAAGAACAGAAATATGAATCAAATATACAAATAAAATTTTCCCATTTTTCTACAATCTCGGCGATCAGGGTTCACCCGCGTTCTGCGTTTCCCCATTCCTTCAGAAGAAATTTAAATATGTCTAGTTTTGAAGTATTTCCATCAATTAAGACCCCATTTAGAAGAAACCCAGTTTTGTGTAATTCAAACTGTTCCATTTATTCAAACGGAAAATCCATTTTCTTTGGTGCTGAAAATGTTGAGAATTTTACGAAGAAAAACGTATTAGCATTAAATTATCATGGAGAAGCTGGGTCTATTGTTCAACAAGGTCTTCACAATCTACCGCTATCGGTGGAGCTTGAGCCCATTTCTGGAGAAGCCCAGTTCGATCGGGTCATTGCTGAGGCTCAACAGCTCGACGAATCAATTGTAATTTTATGGTATGAATTTAGGGTTGCAGTTTGATTTTCCCCTCTTTTAGTCTTCAGTTGTTTTTGTGTTATTTTTTTAATCTATTGATCAATTTTTTCGTTTTAATTTTGTTAGTTCAAGAAGAATCACTTTCCCCTCCATTCAATGTAAAAAATCGATTATTTTTTCCTCATGGATTTAACTTTACTTTATTCTTGTTATTGTTACTATTATTTCATGTTAAATTTACAACTTGAAATTGAGATTTCACTACTTGAATTCGTGCAAATTCTTGGATTTACCTTCAATGAGTAATGTTGCCAAGAAAAAGCCCGAATGGGGGGATACCTTGTACGGAAAATCTTTTATTTCATAAACAAAGCTTGGGATTTTGATGAATGTCTACCATGTAAGAGAACTTCTAAATGAGATGAAGTTCTGATATTTCTTCAACCGTGTTGAGATAAGATGAGTATAGGACTCGAGACAATTTTGTTTAGCCATTTTCCCATAAAATAGCAAGATTTTATGGATTAAAATGAGCTAACATCTATCCATGTCTGCTGCACTTATGACTTAACTATAAAAGCTGCTTGCTTATTTGACACAGATTATCCAACATATACTCTAATAAAGTGTAACCAGAAGCTGGGCGTCATAAAAGTACTACATATCATGAGATTTATACATTTCAATGAGGTTTATTCATAATAGAAGTCCAGATAATGTATGACTAGAAGAAATGGTGAGGCAGCACCAGTGCAGGATTAACTGGCACTCTTGGACAGTAAGTTTTGATGTATTTGGTGTATAAAAGCTTGGCAGGGGTAGGGAATGATTTGGAATTTATCAAACAAGAAACAAAAGTTTCTTGAGGTTGAGAAAGAAATTTCATTGATGTGGACAGTATTTCGTGAACAGCACCCTTGTTTGGTTAGGTTTTTGTAGGGAGAAACTGATTGAATTTGTAAACAAGTTCGTATCAAGTTAAATTTGTTTGATTTTGAAGGTAAGACACAATTAACTTGCGGAAAATAATAGGAGCGTAGCGATGGAAGATCATCAAACCTAGGATTGGTCCTCGACTACTCTCGAGAGAAACATAATTATCTGATTGATAATGGAGTTATCGAAGGTTGCTGATATATCAAAAGTAGAAATAGCTGCTATGTTGTAGCAATGTTATAATTCTACATGGTAATGGTTGTATAGATTGTTTAAAAAAATTATGAGTAATATCATTGTCACTGGTGGTTTTTGGTCATTCGTCATCATGATCATGCATTGCAAAATGCTCCACATCCATGCATGTGCATAATTTAAATGCACAATTGTCACCAATAGCTGAAGAAACAGTTGTACAAGTCGAGCATGTGATGAAGGATTTTCTTATTGATTGATTCTTAGCCTTGTCTAGCTTGGATGGATTCTCTCTGAAGCAAATCACATTTGGAGGTTCTTTCTATGTCGGAGTAAAATGAAAACTTAACTCTGCAATTAAACTCTGCATGTCAATGTCTGTTTGTGAATGTGTTGGAATTAGTTAGGAAAACGAGACATTGGAAGTACAGTCTTTGTAAGAAAAAGTAATTTAGAAAGTCTTTCGGGAGAATTTACAAGGTCAAGATGGAGAAGAGGATGTATACCAAAACTGTGAAGCCAGAAGCCGAGAGTTGCCAATATTGTTGTCTCTCCCCTCGTTTTCATGTTAGAATTGATAGCAAGAATACCTTTCAAAGGCAGAGAGGTTCTGGAAGCAAGAAAATAGCAACAAAGATTAGCAATCAAAATCATGATAATTTTAAATTTGAAGAGCTCTACTTGAAAGTAAATCAAACAGAAGGCAAACTATTCTTGCAACCATGAATAGGTATTCATTTTCATGCATTGACTAGCATTCTTATTAGAAGTCACTAAACCATTTTAGATTTGTGCTTCTTTGACCTTTAAGGTAATTGCATGAGCTACTGTGACTTGCCGAAGAAAGTTACTTCTTTGCATACAAATCTCTCTCTCTCTCTCTCTCTCTCTTGCTCGCTCGCGCGCAACACGAGACCTTTTTTTCTCCATTGCAACTTTTTCCTCTTTCTTATTCTTTTACCTTATGGTAAT